AATATTAATTAATGCAGTATGACCGAGAATGCAATTAATGTCGACCGCGTGGGCCGGACACGTTGATTGATGGGCTTCTTGCACGAAAGTATGGCCGATATGAAATTTCGCAAGCGGATTTAATAACTTATTCGATTAAAATTCGTCCACCGGAGGTAGTAAAAAGTGGCCGGACGTAAAGTAAACGCATAATTTTTACGCCACTCGGTAACAGTATCAATTATATACCAATACATATTAATTATTCAATTCCGGAGAGCCGCCGGATGATGAGAATCAACTTCAGATATTAATACAATGCCCGTTAATTGATTTCGATTCAAGCCCCGTAATTGTTAGGTGGGGTCGGAATGTAAATATCCTCGTTTTCAAATAAATTAAATATTCCCTTAAAATTCCACGGTTAGGAGGATTTACTCGTTCGAGTACAATGTCGCGGTGCATTCCGATCGAGAATCAATTGCATTATTCGTAGGCGAAAATGCATCCAAAGAGAATGCAACTCGCTATCGCGAGAGGGCTAAAATGTCGTCTCATTGTCCCAGGGAATGCGCTATTTAATCGGATCGATCTCGAATCTCCCGTTCGAGAGATCGACCTTTGGCTCCGAAACACGAGATCGCAGGAAGGAGGGAAGGGATGCATCCGCATTACTTTGCTGCACTTTCGTTGCATCTCCAGATGCAGTTTTTAAGCCATTCGCGTGTAAATTCGGTCGCACCATTGATAGTAAAAAAATAATTCCCCGCTCGAGCTTTATCTTTTAATTCATGACATAAAACATGTCTCAATGGTTGCCCGCAATATTTATTATCAACATTTAGTTGCTCAACTATCGCCACTTCCGCTCCCCGTAGTTAAATCCCCGTTCAAGTGTCTCTAATAAATTTTTCTTATTATTCAACCGTCCCCAGTTCCATCTTCTGTATCGTCGATTAATCCTCGCCACTCGAGTTACCGCCTGCAATGTCCCCAAATAAACAATTACCAGTAAGGAAATAAATGTACATGACCCTGGGATATGCAGATTATGGAAGAGCGACCTTTCCTCCGTTATTCCGGGACCTTATTAAACATGGAAGCTACCGCATAAATTTCACCGATCCAGAAGACGAAGGCGCACATTTAACGCGCATCCCCTCGGTACTCGTACGTAAATACCTAATTGCCGCACTCATGCGAGACAACTGTACATACAACCAACGTGTCCTCGTCGCCTGCAAGACGCATTGCCCGATTACCACTCAAAATGGCCCCATTCCCAGAAGCGATCCCTTTTCTCGTCCAAGTAATTGCCGCGTCTCAATTCCACGTGTACTTATTCCAGATTAGACATTACTCCCCACACCCTCTAAATAAGATAAAAAATTTTTTTAAATCCTTATCGCCCCTCAAAATGAAACTCTCGATTCAAAAGCAATTATTAGGTATCATTAACACTTATCGATGGCGTTATCAAAAAATTAGTCATTTACGCGTCTTGCAAAAATGAGAAAAAAAAAATCGGAATATGCGTTAACATATTAAATATTAATAAAGTATATTATTCACGGTAAAAGAGGGGTCAAATTAGACACGAGGGGGTGACACGATATCGGGGGAATTTTTTATCATTTTAGTGACACTAGTGATAAGCATTTTTTTTTTCTTTGTGGGATGCATTTCATTTTTCCAAGTGAAGTACGCTTTTTCCCTGTTCCACGGGGAAATAGAGATGGAACGAAGTACGAGGGGGGATGATATGATATCAGGAGGGATAGGTGGATGCCCCGCGGAGAGATAATCGTTGCTCCTCTTATTAATTCGCACGGCGGTGCATCTCGTGACGGACTTTACATACGGCGAAGGTACACCTGTGCAAGGAACATGTCCCCTGAGGTTGGTGACGACATTTGGAACAGGTTTGGAGACTCGAAAGAGAGATGCACCGCAGGGGGAGGTCGGGGGAAAAGGATTACGCAAAAGTGCGGAATCTCGAGGATGTAATGCAATGCGAGAATGCAGGGACAGATAGGGTGCAATTACGTCCTTAGAAATCGGGAGTGATTAATTGTAGAGTCCCCCCGGTGGGATTGGAAATGCAAATCAAAAGTGCATTGTAGGTTGCAATCGAGTTCCTGGGGAGGAATTTAATTCTGCCAAGTGCACCTGAATTCCGGAGCGTGATATCGTCTCATCCGAAATCGTTCCCTGATCCAAAGAGGTAAAAAAAAAATCCATGATTGAAGGATGTGAATAATTAAATAATTGACGTAGCATTAGGAATTGCAAAAATTTGGCCGACGTATGTTTAACCTTCCGTGGTTCTACAGCTGATGTGGAAATTAATTCCGGGATTGATAAAGGAAAAATGTGCAGGAACACCTGCGGAGATAGCTCGGAGGACAGGAAAAGTGCTTATCAGTGATAGGCGGATAGCCGGGGATGGGCGAAGGACGAGCACGTGGGTGAGGAACGAAAGAGGAGAAGGATAGGACGCATCGATACGATTCCATGACAGGAAGGAAGTTCGCGTGAGTGGAGCGGACATGAGGCAATATTACGAGATAGGGCAAGCTCAAAGGACGCCGCTTCTGCATCATGCCACTTGTGCATGTACGCCATGCAATTGTGCATGTGCGCCACGCAATAATACATGTATGCCACGCAATTCTACGTGCACGCCATGCAATTCTACACGTGCGCCCCGCAATTGTACATGTCCCCCGTGAAATTACACATACACACCGTGCAATTGTGCAAATAATATGGAAATTTGTATGAAGAAAAAAAAAAAAAGAATTAATCGCCATTGATTCCATGGATGCCTAAAAATGTGAAAAATTTATTCCCATCTGGCCCCTGAATTAAAAGAGAATTTCCTGGAAGACTCCTCCAGGTGGAGGATTTATATTCCCGCACCGTGCACTTATTACCGATCGAAAGTACGTATCACTGCATGTGCAGCATGCATTATTAATTATTATATCAGCCACCAGGCAGCCCGGAGTTCGCGTGGCGCATTGCAAGCAGTCGCATCGCGTTGCAATGCACTAATGGACGTCGCTCTAAAAGTCTCTTGATATTTTTTCTTTTCCTTCCTTTTTTTCTTTCGGCACACCCTTACGCCTTGCATAGTTAATGCCCGTGAGAATTTTCACATCGAATCCGAAAGATACGAGACGGGTTTTCGATTGAGTCCGGAATATAGATGCAGGTGCAGCGTTCCAATCCGGGCGGAGATTGCACATAAAAGGAAAAGTGCATCCACTTCGTCGCTTATCCAGAAATTAATATTTCCTACATACGCGTGTGAAAAAAAATTAAAAAAAAAATCCATCCAAACGGCAGGATTTATCTGCAATTTTGTTTTTGTATTCTCAAAATAACCCCTCGAAGTTAGATATTATTTAGGGAATATTTTATTTAATCGAATTGCGGATAAAGGCTCGAGTCGGATTTTGAAAGAAGCGCAAAAGCGGAAAGCGTAGGTGAGTCGAGGGTCGCGAGATGAATTATGAGGCGAAATGTAAGCTGGAATAAAGGAGGCTCGGTAGACGAAGAGGAAGAGGAAGAAGTCAGGGCCGGAGGGTGTTGCGTCGCGCGTTGTAAATTACTGTTATCGCGCGTGTCTCCTGCACTTATCCCTCCGCCCGAGAGAGGAACCGCCGTATAAAGGGGCACCCTTGTAAACCGCACTTTTCTCCGCCCGAAAGAAACGGAATTTAACGCGAGCCCTCCGCGTGGTTTGCTTTTTAATAACCCGTAAGGCCTCTCGCAAAAACGGTCCTGAAAATCCCCGGAATCTCCGATTTCTAATCTCCGTCGGGAAGTCACAATAATTTCCTTCGCTCCCGAAATCTCGATAAATCAAACTGATCAATTAAATCCAATTAAATGATAGATTGAATTGCGGATAAAAATCCTAGGGAATTAATTTTCGAATTTTTTAATTCTTAGATCTCTTAGCGATTAGATCTGGGAATTTTTCACCGATTAAAAAATCCCTCCATTGGCAGTATTGGTCCTCGGCCCTTCGAATCGATCCGGTTCGCCAAATTGATCGATCGATCGCAATCGGTTCCTCTAATTGTCTCTGGATCGCTTCCGCATTGTTCGAGAGTGGACGCGCCCCTCCATTACGTTCCCGCCACATTCTCGAGAAGGTGTTCGGATATTTTTTTTTCCGCCTCTGGTATGACGAGGCAGGAGCCAGGTAATTAATTAAACGCCCAATCAATAGTGATTATCGCCCTCGATATGACGGTAAGACATTTTTACATGCGAAAGCGTCCCCAAAAGTGCATCGCGCATAATTGCACCTGCGTAAATGTTGAATATTATTTCACGGTGTTTGAAATTCATTTAATTTCCCTGACATTGATTGACACCATATTGACAACTTATCGACAGGGTAATCGGATATTCATTGACGACTCCTTTCATCGAGTGCGTCTTGCCTTGAAGGGGCGAACAGATGTCTCATTGTGCGTACACGCAATGCCATCGAGAGTTGACGCACGCGTACGGAGAGTATGTACTCGTGATCTACATGCGCGTAGATACATACATACATATACATGTCGATACCGGGTTATTTTTAGACCTTCCGCGGGACAATCTGCAATTGCTAATCGCGAGTGGATGCGTAAATACAAATACCCTCGGTCGCCCTTTTTGCTCCACTTACCAAACGCTTAACTTGAAAATAAGAAATAGCTCTGGATAAAAAAATTAGGCTGCAATTAATCTTCAAGGAAAAAATATAATATATATTTTAAAATTATTATGCGCCTTTATCAGGTTGAGTTTGACGTTTATATTAATATCTCGACATTGAGTACCTGACTAGTAATTAATTAATTCTGGCGTTACGATTTCCTTGGTTAACATGGCATCGGAGATGGAATAAAGCCACTCTGATCGTGGCAATAATTATTTTATAGGGTAATAAAAATTAAGAGAAATTAATACCAGGGGTGAAATAAGTACCGACAAGTCGGGCACTGAGTTTCACTTACCGTACTTGAGACCACGCCACTTTGAGGCCGGTTCTCGGTACTTGTAGGTCTGTCCGACTATTCTTGGTTGCGGTCGGGGACACGGCTTGTAGACGAGCATACATCTCACGCACTTCCGGTCCGGCAGAGGAGAAACCGAAAACGGAGGCTGGATATGGACGTAAGCCATGGGAGTGACCGGATGAGCATAATAAGTGTATCTTCTGCTCCTGGACCCGAAGAGATCCCGAGGGTCGCCGTCGATCGACCGAGGACCAGCGATCGATCTCTGATCGGCGATCGATCGCGACCGATCGATCCCCAGAGACCCCCGAGAGCCCCTGGGACGACTTTGGTCCAGACCCGAAGAGGATGCTGCAGAGCTCCAGTTTCTGATTTTTCCTCGAGGTCCCTCCACCTCTCTTGCACCTCGAATCGGGAAAATGGTCTCGTCCTCTAATGGGCTTGTCAGCTCTTCCTCGAGGTTTCTCTTCATCTTCTCAGGATCGACTTTGGTTAAATTCGATATCGAACTCTTCAGGGTGGAGGAGGTCGAAGAGTTCCAAGAGATCGGGACCCCTTCAGGTTTTGGACCCTTGGTTAGGGGATCGCTCCCTGGGCTCTGCTCTTCTCCAGGGACGGATTTCCCCGTCCCTGTGGAGGTCTTAAGGTCCGATGGGACAGATTTGAGGTCCTTGAAGAGTCCTATGGCGATTTTCGACTCGATGGGGTCCCGGATTTTCGAGACTTTCGGATCGACCTCGGGTCCTTTGGTTTGGATCCTGAGTTCTTCCACTCTTTTCCTGACTTGTTTCACCGGGACCTCGACCTCTGGGGTCTGGTCTACCTTCGACCCTTCCCACGGACCCTGTAGAGGTCGGCCGACCTCGGCGGCATCCGAGGAGGGCCACTTCCGAGTTCCTCTTCCGTTTCTTCCCCGGGTCGCTTCTGGGAGACCCTTCCTCCACCTGCTCTTCAGGGTGCCGACCTGGAGGTCGTTGACTTCGAACTTGTCCTTGGGACCGTTTCGATCCTTCGAGTTCTCGATCGTGCTCTTCGGGGTCCTCTTCGACTTCCTCCTCGAGGTCTTCGGATCCTTGGAGTTTTTCGAGTCCTTTGATTCCCAGTCGGCGGAGTTCCCGGGGAGTCGGCGGATCCCACCTCCGCTGTCCCTTATCAAACCGCCTCGCGTCTTATCAGTTGGCCTCCACTTGATTTCACTTCCGATCGTCGGTGTCACTTCCGCCGAGCCGTGCCTCCTCTCCCCGGAAGTGTTCGTGGGCACAAATTGGAGAACAAGGGACACCACCGCGAGGGCCAAAATGCCCTGGACCCACAACGACCTTCTCGGGCACATTTCTACCCCATATCAGTGCCCGCCCGTGTTATCACCGGTCCCTCCACCTAGGCGGCATCTCTTCCCCTCTGCCCTTCTCCGCGGTTATCAAAAATACACCTTCCTCATAAATCACCCTCAACTCAACCCTCCATCTTTAATTCCACTTCTGCCCTTCCAATCCCGCACCTCCAAAGGAAATATTCATAAATTAATTATTATCTCGACTCTCATTTATTATTATTTTTTTTTAATCCCTAACACTCTCATCAGGTTGTCCTCGATTATTCCTTGACATCGACTCGACAGATTTCATTCATCTCGTAGTCGCTTTATATTTTATTTTTCTAAAGGGCTTAGGAAAATTCTATTTATTTTTTTCTAGTTATGGATTGTAATAAATATACGGAATAAAATGGAGGCGATCGATCCTTCAGTCGCCACGCAGTCTCGTTTGGATTTCCTGTATTCTCTCGTCGAACCCGGCTGGCCTTGAAGACCTCTCAATGAAATGTTCATCCGGTTCACGTGGACCATGAAATGGGCGATCAGTGAACTTAAGTATCCTTCGATAACCTTCGAATTTAAATATTCTTATTCTTCAAGCCTCATTTTCGAATTAATCGCTCATTGTTGAATTTTGTAGAATTAGAGGAGCCTTGAAGACCTCTCAATGAAGTATTCATGTGGTTCACGTAGACCACGAAGAGAAGGGTTAACCGCGAATTTATTCACCAGTCGCCACGCAGTCTCGGTGGAATTTCCGATATTCTCGTGGCTGCATAATGAATCCCGTTGAACTCGAGTGACCCTGAAGATTCCTGAATGAAGTTTCCACCTTGAAGAGGAGCCGATCGCCGAGTGCGGTTTCGGCTTATTCACGAGTCGCTCCTCAGGGTTTTTTAGGTAAAAAATCTCGAACACCGAGTGATCTTGAAAACTCCTCAGTGTTCACCGGTTCACCAGGACCTACAAGTGGGTGAACTCCTCGACGCGAACCGATTAATTTTAAAATCGAGCCTCTATTAATTCGGGATTTTTAAAATTCTCTCAAAAAATCCTGTCGAACGTAGAGTGATCTTGAAAACTCCTCAAGGTGTTCACCGGTTCACCAGGACCTTCAAGAGGGTGAACTCTTCGACACGAACCAATTGATTCTAAAATCGACCCTCTATTAATTCGGGATTTTTTAAATTCTCTCAAGAAATCCTGTCGAACGTCGAGTGATTTTGAAAACTCCTCAAAGTGTTCACCGGTTCACCAGGACCTTCGAGAGGACGATCGGAGACCGCTCCGGCGCGAACCGCGACGCGAGAGACACTGGCCTGCTACCATTACCATTAGCTCCAGTTGCCCTCTCTCCTGTCCCTTCATCCTCCCACTCTTTCTCTCCAGATTCATCTTCCGACCTTCCATGCCCGTGCCGAACCTCTCTCGTTTACCTTATCGGTCACTCCGCAAAATTCTCCCCTCCACCCGGAGAATTGAGGATTTTAATTTCCACCCTTTCCCTTCGAACTCCCCATTTTCTCCTAACCTCAACCCACCCTTTACTCCACCTTTTAGATGAACCTTCCTTCTGAATATGATTTTAAGTGAATTTTTAATAACCACCTCGTTATGCAATTTCATAAAAATTTCTGGAATAATAAGGAACATTGATATCGGACACTGATAAAAAGCAATTCAAGCACCAAAGAGATATTTTCTTAATTTCAAGAATAACTTTATTGATTGGAAATTAATTATTGAACTCAAAGGAGGATGATCGATAACGCGATTGATCGACCTTGCATTAAAGGAGTGGCTCGACCTCACTTTTTTATTGACCTCTTCCTCCGATTGATCGATTATTCCACGTGAATCGATGCAGGAAACGCAGGACGATAAGGAGTAACGAAATGCCCATCAACGAGTGAAAACTACGAGGAAGCCGACAAAGGATAAACGGTAGGGAGCTGAAAACGACGTGTCAGCGTTCGCCAAGAACAAACGACTCTGTCGATCGAGAGAAGCACCGCCATTGTGAAAGCCTCTACCCGGCGAAGAGAATCGATCGCCATCGATCGAACTTTAATCCGCCCGGAGACCGGTGGGACTGAAATTATTCATTTTGCATACGAAATGCCACCAAGACTTTCCCACACCGAATTACCATATCTCCGCGGCCGCCATAAAACACTTTTCATCCCCGATCAATCGCCATTCCGCGAAAACTAAAATCCTCTCATCCCGAGCTCTGGCAAAATCTGCAACAATCCAGAAATACAATCTAAACGTTGCAGAAGGTAAATTTAAACATTTACATCCGTGAAAATATTCCAAAAACTGGGATATCTTGATTTTTTAATTTAATTTAGCGAAACTGCAGATTGTTTCGGTGTGAAGAAAATGGCGGCGCGAGTTGCGGGAAATTCAAAGTCGGGAACCCTGATACGAAGAGTTGTGAAGAAAAATTCGATGTTAGAGATATACCTGCGTGGATTTATTGTAAAAGTGAGGTGCTTAAGATTGAAGTTCGTTAATGGAAAATTAATTTCTGTGATTTCATCTGGGTAGGGGGAAATCCGCCCAATTTTTAGGGGGATTTAGGCGAAGTCGAAGACCCGGTTAAGGGTTCCTGTGATAAGAGCGAGGGTCGCAGTAAACATTTATCACTTGGTAATTGCTTCCGGCAAGGGCTGAGGGAAATTTAAAGCGATACGTCAGGGAATGCCCCTCGATCTGGTCCAGGGGATAAACGTGGAATGGAAGGTGCGCCGAGCGTTTACGAGGCCGTGATAAGCGTTTATCACGCGTTAATTGCACATCCGCCGACCCCGAATTCCGCTTCCCGAATCGCCAAGAAACGCAGCTAAGGATGCATTGTGGAAGAAATACGGTGCAACGATGTATTATGCAGAAAAGGTCTTTAGTTTTCACGCGCGGCTCGGTAAGGAGACCTACATTGATAAGGGATATCTCTCTCCTGATATCTGCAACGGACACAAGGACTCTTGTGCAACTCGAGATCAAAGACGCCGACCCTTCGCGAGAACGAATGACAATTGCCGATTTATGGGAAAAATAAAGGGAAACAATGAAATAAATTAAATAAATCGACTTCATCGGATTATCTGATAAGGACTTATGATTATATTTCAATACGTGCTCATTCATTTTTCCTCATTTTTTGTTCGATCTCTCATTCATTTCCGTGTTTTATCATTCCTCTCAGGTTCTGATAAGGGTAAGGGTGGATTCATGTTTCCAATGAGCCCTTCTATTACTACCTTAGGCTAATAAACTAAGGACAATGCGGTACTCATTAGAATGCACGTTATCAAGCCTCGTAAAATTTTTTTCTCCAGAAACCGAAGTACCGAATTACCTGCGCTCTACTAATTACGCATTTGTTACGCCGCCATTGTTGGAATAATGCACAGATTGCGCGATCGCAGGTGCACATTTATTTTCGCCGAGTTTCCTCCCCGATAACGATTTCATGAATTAATTGCGTGCGATTGATATTACATAAATGCAGGAGAATAAAAAATACGGATAATTATTAAGATGATATGAAGAAAATATTTATTTTTTTTTTAATTTGGGGCGAGGAATCATTTAAAACTTTGACACATGACTGTGAAGACCTTAAGGAAGTACCTTCGTTATCATTTTGAAATTTCTTACTTATCTCGGTTTTCCTTCCTGATTGAAACTCGCGTCGTGTCTTGATTACGAGTGTTTTGGTTCTCTCGCTTGTTAGAAAATGACGGGTGAGCAAGGGGATGTAATTTCCCAACGATTGCCTCGGTAACGCTTCAATTGATAATTGGTAAGAAGAGTCGATTACCTCGGAGGAGGTACAGAGACCTCAGAATTGCTCCTCGAGTCATG